GTGCAAATGTTATTACTCATTATGAACACACAACGAACGTTAATATCTAATCTCAAATACTGTACCCGCAACATCTTAGAAAATTTTTTAAAATTATTTTTTAATTACGTAAACCATCAAATCTATTATAAATTTTATAAACATAATATAAATTTACAGTATTAATATTGTAATATTTTAAAATTTATTAAAATTTGAAAAAGTTACATATAATAAAATTTGTGTAAATTAAAACAAGTAAAAGGGAAGGTGTTAAAAAAAGCCGATTTTGGCCCCCAAAGGTGTAAGTAAAAACAAGTAAAACTGTTTTTACTAAATACATTATGTTTATGCTCAATTTTCAAGGTGTTCCCCAAGCGCTACGAACTTTTAAAATAGTTCTATCGTAGTTCAGGAGATCAAAATCTATAAAAAGCACTATTGTTTCTAAAACAATGGACAATCAAGGGCAGATGAGCCAAAGGCAAGTTGTTGGTAGCCAAAACAATTCTATTTTAAATCGGATCCAGACGTTTCGTTTTTAATTAAACCATATTCATTGGTTATACAAATTACAGTTAATTAATAAAACATAGAAACGTAAAATTTCATTAAGATTCGCAAATGTAGAGGCTTAAAAACTAAACCGCAGGTTTCTTTTTCGGCATGTTTCGCTATTATAAACTTTTTTGGATATATTTACGATGACTTTCCAATGTCTGTCTTGTATCATTATGGAAGTCCTTTGTAGAATTCACCGGATTGTGCGCTTATTAATGTCAATGTTGTCCAGACTATTGTTTCTACTTAAACTTTTGGGGGCCAAAATCGGTTCTTTTTTAACATCCTCCTTTGTGTTTGTTTTACACTTATAATTTTTATTTTGGCAACAAGTCAACAAAACCAAATAGTGTGAAGAAAACGACTTGAATATTATTAATATTTAATATAAAATTCTATATTAAAAATTAGACTAGGTTATTATACATAAATAATATAATTAATGCAATTATTATTGAGTCAGTTTTATATAATATTTTTTTGCAGAAAAAATAATTAGGTAATAATAAAAATAAATTATTAAACGTACATTATCATTTCATTCTTTGGTAAATATTGCAGTAAACAATAATAGCGACAAGTCAATCTGCTCGCACCACTTGCAAGCATTATTTGTTCTTATTTAACATTTGATAAACAGAGATAAGAATGATTCCAAGAGCGTTGCGAGTGTTAAATGGAATGTAATAGTATATCTAACAACAATAGTAACGTTCTTCTCGACATGATTTTAATAGTTTTGCAATAATTGTCCGCAGTTACGATAGTGAACACGATGAGACATAGAAAATTGCAGATTCCTGTTAATTGTTGGATATATGGTATTATATAATTAAAGATTAAATAAATATAATCTGTGAAATATATATTGATCTGTTGCATGTACAAACGTTTTTTGGATGTTTATAAATACAGTAGCATTTAAAAATTATATAAAGAAAATTATTGAGATTCTCTGATACATCCTTCATCGAAATTTCATAATTTCTTGTTTAATACTCGTATATTATTCTTTTTACTATATACTTGTGGCTTCAATACGTAAAAGTATAAAAGTTTTAACGCATTTGTTCTCTTATGTTGTAAGAGAAATAATTTGAAAGAGATAAGAGAAAGATAAAGTGACCTCCTATTTGATAAGAATACAATTATATAGCACATTTTTAAAATATCAGGATAATTAAAAAAATTATGGTATTTATGCATTTCGAAATACGTTTCACAAGAGAGGATAAATATGTATGATGATGATAGCCTTGCATACTTCGTACAAGGACAATATTTTGTAACGGTTCTTCTGTTTTCTATTTGTAAAAAAAATTATTAAATATCTTCATTCATTCAGACTTGAGTCAAATATGTATTAAAACTGAAAAAGGAATATATATATTGATTTTTTTAAGAGCTACATAAATTCAACAGAGTAATACATTCATCGAAGTTAAAATTTATTAATTACATGTTTTAAACTTTTGATATAATTCCTTAATTATTATAATAACTTAAAAGAAAAAAATAGCTTTAATAGGAAGAAATACAAACTGTGGCAATAATAAATATAAAAACAAAAACAGAATATAAGTAAAATTTAAATAAAATAATAAATTTTCCAAGATTTTTTGATTATTAGTTATAAAACAATATTTGATCTTAATTTAATTATTGTAGTTTTTATTTTAATAAATTATGAATAATTCGTTATACAAAATTTATAATATAATTTGATTTATAATATAATACAATATAATAAAATTTATAATAAAATTTATTAGATATGTAATATATAGTTTTCACAAAATAATTCATAAGTGCAAAAATTTGTAATAGACATTTCCTAAATTAAATCGCTTATTCTATTAAAAGATGCTTGAAAAATATCGAACAATAAGAAACTTTATGTTAAGTAATAAAATGTTCTATATTGATGTTGACATACAAAATAATATAAAATATAAAATAATAAAAAATTGTAAAAATATTAAAAATAAATTATATAAAATTTGGATTATTATGCGTTTCAAGGGACGAGCACGTTACTCTCGTCGTCGTCGCCGCCGCCGTGCTGAGGGAACGATAGTGATGCTCGGTCAGTAGGTCGCTCGACGTGAGCGAAGACTCCCGTCCCGTGATGCGTTTGCACGAGGGTGCCCGGTCGAGAAATAGCGGAAAGGAACCGGCGTAGAAGGGAGGAAGGAGGTGCTGCCGGTTCGGGCACGCCGCGGCACCGACACGCTAAATCACGGTAGCTTAAAGCCTTTGCTCTTTTGCTTCTTGGAAAATGAACTTTATGCTATATACTCTCTACGGATTCGCGATATTTTTTATGATATACTGGTTGGGTATGTGGGTGATTCACGTGCTGGCGTTGATTGCCAGCCGTTCGAAGCTGCATCGGAAGACAAATCAGGCGCCGAGTTACGAGACGCTCGCGCCGTTGCCGGGAGTGTCCGTGATAAAGCCCCTAATGGGGGTTGACCCGAATCTTTTCAGCAACCTTGAGACTTTCTTCACTATGGGGTATCCTCGATACGAGCTCCTATTCTGCGTCGAGGATGACTCTGATCCCGTGCTGATGTTGGTACGCAAGCTCATCGAAAAGTATACGGAAGTCGAGGCCACGCTCTTCGTCGGAGGTTGCAAGGTGGGAGTGAATCCAAAGATCAACAATATACAGCCGGCGTATGAGAGCGCCAAGTACGAGCTTGTTCTAATCAGCGACAGTGGCATACGGATGAAGGAGGACACTCTATTAGACATGGTTTATCACATGACAGACAGGGTGGCTATAGTTCATCAGATGCCATTTACCTGCGACCGCGAAGGTTTCGCCGCCGCGTACGAAAAGATCTTCTTTGGTACGATGCTATCGCGGATGTATCTGGCTGCGGATATGCTCAGGCTAATCTGTCATGTCGGCATGTCGACTCTCCTGAGAAAATCCACGTTGGACGAGGTCGGTGGTCTAAAAGCGTTCGGCATCTATCTCGCGGAGGACTTTTTTTACGCGAAATCATTGATTGATCATGGCTGGCGCATCACCGTCTCCTCGCAGCCGGCATTACAGAACAGCGGTCACTGCACGATCAGTTCTTTCCAAGCACGACTACGACGGTGGGCCAAGTTGAGGGTGACGATTTCGCCTACCAGTATCGTTACCGAACCGCTAACCGAGTGCCTCGTTCTGGGCGGGTTTGCTTCCTGGGCGGCCAACGTCCTTTTTGAATGGAATTCTCTAGTTTTCTATCTCGTACACATACTTTTATGGTTTATATTCGACTGGACGCTACTGTGCGTAGTGCAGAACGGTTCGCTGCCCTTCAACAAATTTAAGTTTGTGTGCGGTTGGCTGCTCAACGAGATCACGAGACCGTATCTTTTTCTTCAGGCTCTCCTGGATCCTCTCACGATACAGTGGCGTTCACGTGTTTACAAGCTCAAATGGGGGGGCGTTGCGGAGGAAATTAAAGCATAAGTCAAATATGAAAAATTCATGAATGAATGCGTGAGTGTGTGCGGGTGAGCCTATTCGTGTAGGTGTCAAACTATAAGACAGAGAGAAAATAGAGAATACGTCCTTTTGTTTTTCAACTAATAAATGTATGCGAGGTGTTCTAATCATCATAAGTTCTAATCTTATTCTTAGTTAATTTATTTTTTGATAAAATGGATAAATTTTTAATTTAATAATTAAATGCAAGATAACATCTTTTAACAGATTATGCTAAGAAACTAAATGTAAATTATATTATAATTTTTGTTTTGCAAAGAAAATTTTGATGAAATTTTAATTTTTTACTAACAAGGCTTCTAGGTCTTTTTCGATTTAAATAAAACTTAGTGAAATTGTGTTGACTTGAGAAAATAGATAAAAACATTTAAATATGTATTTTTTTATCAAACATGTTTAAGGATTTAAATCTGTCCTCGAAAATCAGTCAAATTTTTGTTTTCAGTTACAACTTTTAAATGAAACATAATAGCATAATTTCATAGATATATTATATATACAAAATGTACAGAATTTGGAAATGGTACTGTACGACAGATTGCGAGGCCTTTGTGCAAATTATTCTCGAGCAAACCTTTTTATGATCAGCGATTTGCAATTTTAAATAAAATATATTTTTGATCATTTTTAACATGTAGAAACAAAACTGTATTGTGACATTTAAAATAATAAAATCACATATAAAATAATAAAAATTATAATATTGTTAAAGATAAGTTATATAAAATTTGGATTATTTATGACAGTTTTAGTAAAAATTATGCTCTTGTACATTGTTATTTGCTAACAGATAGATTAATAAATTTTATATATTTTTTTTTAAAACGTTGCAAGTAACATAAAAATACAGAAAGATAAAAAGTAAGTGACGAAATGCGCAAAAGTTACGTTAAAATGTTTAACGATAAGGGTTAATGATGCTGATAACATTTTTTAGTGATAACGCGTAGTCTATAAATTAGGGCCATTCTTTAAAACTTTTTACAGCAAAACATTCTTTGAAAGAACCTACAGCAAGTTCTCAGTAGCTAAGACCGCATAAAAAGTATCATGGCAATAGTTTCCCTATTGTATTTTGCCATAAGGCAGAAGTATTTACTATCATAACCGCAACTAATTATTGCAATGTGAATTCGTGCACGTATAAAAAAGTAGACGTAAAGGATCACACAATGTGCAAGTACACCGTAAGTAGAATTAATTGCATGTATATTTTTCATATATGTATACATGTATTGGGTCATCCAGAAAATTCTGCGGTTTTCTCACATCTGCGCGGATACTAGTTTGAATTTTACGTTAATACTGAATGAAAAAGCCCAAATTTTAGGTTGATAAGAAAGAGCAATTTTTTGTTCAAACAATGCATCCATCCATAATGGCATATGTTCAGCACATTCGCAATTCTATATTAATGCCCTAAAATTGGAGAACGAAAAACAAAATTTTTGCAATATTATGCTCTTCTACTTTAAAAAGGGCAAGAACGCAGCTGCGAAACAGCGCGTAAAATTTGTAATGTTTACGGACAAGGCAAAATTCAACTGTTTCTAATGATACAGTTCAGAGATGGTTTGCGAAATTTCAACAAGGTGATTTCACTCTCAAAGACAAAGCGCGATCTGGGCTTCCCTGCACTAGATGATGATCTATTAGAGCAAACTATTGCCGAAAATTCTCGTTATACAAGAACTGGCAAAGAAATTAAAAATTGCAAAAAGTACGTGGCCATTTGAACTTGTTACCATGAAAATCGCAAAACTTTCTGGATGACCCAATATATAGATATACCTAAACATATGTTTAAGAAGTTATTTTCTTCTCTTTCTTTTCTTAACTTACGAAAAATATACGTAATGTATGAACAATTATTTTATTTTCTCTAAACGAAAACTTTTATTTTTATTCTTTTAGAAATGTTATTAAGATACTTAATAAGACGATGTAATCTATACATTATGTACTTAGCTAATCTTAAAAATTATACCGTAGTCACCAAATCCAGCGGCAGCTTGTGGACAAGGATCTTTTGACCTTAGTAAGGCTGAGAAAGATGAAATAGTAAGAACGCACAATCAATTGAGACAGAAAGTCGCATCAGGCAAGGAAACCAGAGGAGCTCCAGGTCCACAACCTGCGGCAGTTAGCATGCCAAGCTTGGTAAGACATTAATAATACATTATTAATAACAAGTTAAAATATGTAATAATCGAAAAAACGTTTGATAAATGTTTATATTCTAATTTATTTCAAACAATTAAATTTTACTTTAAATTTTTTAAAGAAATATAAAATTATGATTTAACTACGAGATATAAAATTTTGAAAAATTCAGTAGTTTTTTTAAGATTATAATATATTTCTGTTACGTCCGGCGTGCATTAAATCAATGTACCTTGTAGAAGCGTCAATTTATTTTTTCGGTTATTGTATCATATTAATGCCACGCCGTTGCAACCGCCCGAGTGCCAGCACACCTGACGGAATGCGCGTCAGTCGGGGCGCGCGCTCGCTCCACTCGGTACACGCGTGACTACCGACAAACAAGTCCCTTTATTCTCTGATAATCCAGAGATTTAATTTCAATTACTCTTTTGTATTTCTATTATGCA